GAAAAATGAATATTGCGCATTGCTTTGTTTTTTTGCCATTCAAGGACTGTTTGTTGGGTTTAGGGAGTTAATCAGTGATTAAATTAATCAGTTGAGGCAAATTTGCTCATTCACTTATTTTCTCTGCAGACACGCACAGGCGCAAACAAAAAAAATAAAATGTTAAATAAAACTAAAACATATTTACAGGGCAACCAGATCTTGCTACACACTCTATTGAGTATAATTTGTGCTGCAGTGAAACTAAGTATCAGTGCAAATCTTTGGGAGTCCAGATGAAAAATAAGTTTAATTGCTGTCATTTGTCCTCGGACTGTTCTCTTTTTTTGCGAAATTGTGTTCTTTGCAGCAAGGCATTACATCCTGTTAGTCTCATAGTTTGTCAGTATCAACAACAACCAAAGCCTCTGGGTCGCACTGAACACGAGGATAATGGTGAATCATCAGCCGCCTTCCTGGTCACGTAGCCGGTTTCATCTTGAGAGAGAGGACTGTTGATTCTGTGACTAATTAATTAAAATGCAAGCAAGTGGTTAAAATGCACGAGCGTGCTGTCAAAACAACGAGCACAGTTAAATTATAGATACTTTGAAGTTGCTGGTGCTTAAACAATAGTGCGGAATTGGGATCGCTTTAATGTGTGTGGTAATGAAGTCTGAACCTGCGCTGCTGTTCTTACGGGGCTGCTGAAAGATGAATATGCAGTGTCTGATGTGTTTTCCTGCTAAAAAACAGAGCTTAATTATATTTAGAATAATGTTAGAGGAAGGGAATACATTTGTTGTGTTGGCAAAATCTATATCAAGGGGGCTGTACATTGTGAACTATAGGAAAGCAACTAGAAACTGCTTTTTCTGCACTGAGAGTGAAATGACTCACTCTTCCCAAAGGAAGGCTGTACAGAACCAGCCCTGGAGATTTCTAGTTCTCATCACTCTTTATGCATTAGATAAAAGTGTGCATGTATCTGTCCTTTTGTGACCAACCTAATCAGACAAAAAAATGGGTGCTGAGCATGAGTGCCTGCTGTAATCATAGCGCACTGCCCCAGAGCTGTGACTCACATGCCGTGATGGCAGTCAAAATGCAAATTTAAGCAATCACACTGAGGAACAGCAGTGAGTGAAGAACAGCGAAGTGAAAAGCGGTGATGCTGTTGGTTTTGTTATGTTCGATAAAAAGCTCCTGTAAAGTCCACTTTGCAGACATCATTACCACAGTATCACTTCAGTGAGACAGCTCATGTTTGATATTATTTATCACAGCAGCAGAACATAATAGAGTTTGGCGTCTGGGATCCGAGCTCATCACTTCCCGTAAATATGTCACGTATAGAAACGGGGGGGAGCTTACAAGGTGGTTGCTGGGATGCTGGGGTAATGGAGGGGTTGAGACAGCAGACAGCGAGGCAGGGCTGCAGCAGCACTGACGTGTCAGAGGGAGAGATGGGAAATTTTGCAGCTTAGATAGACCAGCAAATTGGCAGGTTGTGTTTGGTGTATGACACGAGGAGAACGAGGAGTGTGTATGACGCAGTTCGGCTAAAGCCTGACTGCCTGAACTAACTTGTGGACTTTGCTCCATTTGTTAGGAGAGAATTTTCTCTCTGCCTCTGCCTGGTAAAGCCGCCTTTGGATATTTTGCTTCTGTGTCTCCCAGATGTCAAATCGTAACAATGGGCAGCTGGAAACGATCGTGATGATCAGTTCCACATTTGGAGAACTCACAATAATCCTTCATAACAAGCTCCATAACCTGCAGTGCCCCAAGCACGCAGCTATTATCCCCACTGCTTTAATGTTACAGTGAAATGTCAACTCAGAACTGAGCTACTTCTGAACAATTCAGTCTCTATCAGTCTGTTTAAGATAAAGAAAGAGTGAAAATTTGGCTTAAGGAATCACTAAAGTTGGTCATGTGAGCCATGCTTTTTTTTTTTATTAAAGATTCACTGACACTGCACTGTCAGAGCCAACTTACCAATGTTATCAGTATATTCCACAAAGCAGCTGTGGAATAAATTTAATGCCACGTTTGACTGCCTGAGTTATTTGCTCATTGTTATATGTCTTTGGACATGGGAGAAGGAAATATTCGCAGTTATTATACCTCGCGATATAATAAATGTGAGCTCAGCTGGTCAGTTTGCCTCATATGAAGAAACATTTTTATTCATTTTACAAATTGTCTACAGGTCATTCATGATTGTTTGACTCCTAATTAATTGTGCGTTACAAGTGATAGACCACTGTTTCAATCTGATTAGGTAGGCGGATTAATGTAAGCAAGAGGATGATAAAGCTAATTCTGCTATTTTGGAGAGGTTTATGTATAAACATTGATGGGAAATAAGGATGGACAGCGAAGTTGAACAGACAGAAACTGTGAGGTTAGTCCCCAGGCCCTTAATGCCCAAAGCACTGCAGAGATTTCTTTGTTGGAGCAGTTTACTTGTGCGACAGATTCATGCAGAGACAAACAGCAAAAGGTGCAGTGAGTCATTTCGGACTTTGTGATATCATCTGGCAAAACCATGCCTCTGTTTTTCCATGCATACAAATATGTCAACACAAACACAGCCTGTCGTTGCTGAATAAACACTCACCCACCATGTGAAATATACACGTGTGAAAGAACATCTAGGACCCAAACTGCATTAGTTCCAGGTATATGGTTGGGTGACTTTGTTCTCTGTGTGGAAATACATTATTGTGTGTATGTGTTGTGTGCTACAGTGGACGGGTGCTTGTGCTGAAATGCTAGCTGCAGATATTTCCAGTACAATGAAAGCCACGATCCCTGTCATGGACTGCTGACCTGCCACAGCTTTCGCAGCTGGGATGGCACCAGCTTCCTACATCCCTAAGTGGGATAAGGAGTTAGGTGGATGGATGGATGGATGAATGGATGGATAGAATATTTGAACCTAAAGGTAATATTTCAATGGTTTAACACACACACACACACACACACACACACACACACACACACACACACACACACACACACACACACACACACAC